GCTGTTGGTGGTGGTGGTGTTGTTGTTGGTCGATCTTGGCGATACGAGGCTGGTCAGGAAATCGGCTCCATTGGCCATCGAAGTATTTATTTTTTTTTCATCATCAAATCAAATCAAATCAAAAACAAACCGTCGGACAGTTGAAAATAAATCAGCTGCTGGATCTGGTAGAGGGTTTTGAGGAGACAGACAGATGAAAACGATGAGATGGTTTTACATTTCACTGCGGCCCATCCGCCTGAAGGCACTGGAGGCTTATACAGTTCCGGTTTCTCTGTTGGTCATTTTGATCGCAAACGAGAGAGAGAGAGAGGCAGAGAGAAAAATACAGGATCAGTGAGTGAATCCTTTCGTTTGCTTGGAGCAGGTGGATGGATAGATTGAGGACTGAACCGCTTGGAGGGACTTCTCTTGAAGACAAGGCTTCCATTTCAGCCGTGTTGCCTACCAAGCCCAGCCAAGGAAATCGATCTCTGATTAGTAAGATCGTTCGTGCCAAGTAAGAGAGAGATGGCTTACGAGAGAAGAGATACTTTGAGCATTCGGTGAGGTTGAATTGTGGCGGGACGGGGGTGGTGGGTGCGGTAGTCGTCGTCCCTGGATTCGAGGCTGCTGGTGGATTGAGTTGGTTAGCCTGTGCGAGTGTTGGGTTGTTGTTTGGTGGACTGGTCTTGTTGTTATTGGTTGTGGGTTGGGCTGCCATCTGTTGTGTTTTGTGTTCTGGTGTGGTGTGGTGTGGTGTGGTGTGTTGGTGTGGTGGTGGATTGGTTTTTGGCCTGTGAAGGGCTGAAGAAAAGACTTGAAAAAGAACAAGGGCTTGAGCCTTTGGAGAGGGGGAAGCTTGTGAAAACTTGGGAAGCTGTCACCGATCAGTGACATCCGCATGCATCCACTCATCAAAAAGTTTACTCCGATCCTGCAACAACCACTTTGGCAAAGCGTGAGTCCTTCTTTCCCTTTTCCTTTCAGCTGCCTCAGTACATCATTACTCATCAACCGCTTCTTATTCAGTCAGAGGATCCCACCCAGCTGCAACCCTCGAGGGCTTCGATCACCGTAGGACCCACAAGCTACAAAACCATTGAGCATTCATAACAACCGGGCGTTCACAGCTATGATGGAAAGACCTGTTGAAGAAGAGGATGCAGTGGAAGAAGAAGCCCCCGACTGGCGAATGCTACTCAAATATACAAAGTCCGCTTAAGCAGTTCCTGATCTATCATCGTTGCCAAGGAACCCACCAGAATAACTCTCTTTAAACATCTTCCAAAAATAATTGATCGATCACACAGAAGTCTAGGGGCTCAAAGTGTAGGAGGAAATCAAGAGCCTTTCATCCCCCGACGAGGCGAGAAGGATTTCGAACCGACCGAAGCACTGGCTCCCACTCAAACCAAAGCCCTCCAAGAATCGCGCCAAGCTCTCTTTACGGCCTTATCTGCGGGTATTCGGGGACACTCCTCACGGGATCATGTGAGATGTGTTTGGACGAGCCCGAGGAGGGATCATGGTCGATCTGAGGACGAGCCAGTCATCCAACCCTATGTGGACGGAACAGCCAAGGGAGTCCTATTCTCTTCAATCGGGAGGTGGAGCAGGGAGCGAAAGAGGCTGGAATTGAGCCCAGAGGAGTTGCTGTATCTGGTCGAAAGAGGGACCGTCGAATGCTGGACTGCTGAGGATCGAGCCACTGGACAGGGCGCCATCCCGATGTCTGTCCAACGAGCATGGGCTGAGATCATCGGAACTAATCAACTATCACTCGAGCGATATCAGGTACTTCTTCTTGCTTCATACTTACCACTCTGAATCAGCTATCTAGACCTCAACTCATAGAAAGAAGCTCACGTTCTGATCCATGGGTTTGTTTAATGTAGGTGTATGCGTATCTCAAGCGGCTGGGTTATATTGTTCTTCGCAAGGAACATGTCGATTCGATCTGGCGCTCCCAAACACGCCAAGCCGCTCTACCCTCCACATACTCCCCTCGTTCCTTCCTTGCAAACCTTTTCTCGTTCATCTGCCGGCCGATACTAAAACTCCAATCGTGGTTGAAGTTACTTTGGATGCCTAACTCACAACCCTGGATTGGAAGAAAATATATCTCGACACTCGCTGTTGCTAATCGCAGTCTCATTCATGATGGGATTTGGAAAACTTATGGTCTGTCTCTCTTCCTCCTTTCTCTCTGTCTTTCAGTTGTTTCCTTCTCAAGTTATGACTATAGCAGATTCTGAATTTTCACTCGTCTTTCAGAATCCGTCTTCAATGCACTCAGTCTGACCCCGTCAGGCCCAAAGGTCCGGTTACCAAGCGCTATATCCGCTTCGACGACTTGTCCGACAAAAAACAATGGAGGCTATGAAGTGTTCTACTACGTCTATAAACCAAATAATCGGTTCCCCAAATCCAGTCCACCGACTCCCGACTTTCAGATCTGTGTGATCGAGTAAGTCTCTCTTGCGGTCCATTTCTTTTTTAAAAGCAGATCGATCGGAACACTGATGCTCTCTAAAAGCTCTGAAAAAATGTGCATCCCCAATATCGCCACGACCAACGCTCTACTCGACACTGTCCAAGGCCCTTCCGCTCCCAAATACCCTCCAACCATTGCCAAGCCTGCAGCAGATCCCAAGCCACCAATCAGTCGACCGTCCTCTTCTCCACCGCTTCACAAGACGATCATCTCTCTTCTCTCGTTCGGTTTCTTTTTTGGAGCTCAATCGAAAACCGGCAAGAAACCGTTCCGACAAAACGTGTTTGCTAAACTTAAGAGGGGCGAACGGAACGTCTTACTAGCTGTTAATGATCATGGAATCATCAGCTTCCTTGTTCGTCTCTTCCTTTTTTTTTCATCGTCTCTATGATCTGTTCACCTCGCGATTATTTCCTCCTTTTTTCCTGACCATCCACAATCTATTTTTTTTTATAATAGAAATTCACGGAAACTCATTTTGCTGGAACTCCCTTGGTGGGCGCACAGAGTAGTATTTAAATCTGGATCGGATTTCTTGAGTCCATCGATTCTTGTTTTTTTTTTTGTTTCTGTTCAAAAATGTCGCCCCTTTTTTTGGAAATATATGTAGTAGGGAAATCCCTTTCATTGAGCGGATAATAAAAGATCATTTCGTGTTTAGAAAATAAGTTACAAGTTACTTGTTGAAGGCAAGCACTCACAATAGCCATGAATTGATTGGCCATTTGGTGTCCGAATTGGGATGTTGGATATAATGTGGTTGATGCCCAGATCACATCAAACAACCAAGTCCAAGTGAAATCATGAGTATCTTGGTCCGATGCACACTGCGCGCCCCGGGATGGACAGGACGTGTGGTAAGCTCGATCGGCACCTAGCTCCGTCGGGATTGTTTCTCCGTACAACCGGGTCCCATTACTTTGCGGAGTCCGGACCTTACTTGTCAAAGTCCCCCCTGGCGGGAGCTGGCGGCCGGTGTGACATTGGAGGAAGTGTCCCGCGGCGCCTAGCAGGCGCTGTAATGCTTCGAATGCTACCATGTTGCGCCTGATCGGGACCCGCACCCGAGCCTAAACAAAGCCGAGCCCTCGGTAGACAGCCCGGCAGGGTCTCTCTGTCGAGGTCGCGCTTCGCGCGAAGCATTCCGCCGACCTATGCCCTCTCCCCCGTAGAGGGCCGACAAGTCTCGCGGTCTCGGGTCCGGAGAGATGGCCTGCCTCACCTGCACCAAGTATCATCCCTGGCGAGAACATACAGGACAACTACGTAAACAAACACTGGACGTCTATGACAGTAGGCATTTTGTGTTTACTTATGCCATAAAGTTGTGATATTTAATTCTTGCACGTTATCAATCGTCATTCATACAATGCAAACGCGTCAGAGAGCAAACTACTTACTACCCTCTCACTGAGACGGCCGGGATTCCCTGTCGCAGTTACTGCTGAGTGATTCACGCGATTCTCGAGAGGCTGATTATATCTATTACTGGTTTTGGGAAACCAGCTTAAACCCCGGCTGTGAAGCCAACCGGTACGCTACCGGAAGTCACCTCCCGATAGTCTCTGCACCATGGAGGAAATAAAGGGTGATCGCAACTCTAGTGCATTGACATACTCCTCATGCCCTGATCAGACAAAGGTTCAGGTGTTTGAACATCACTAATTTCTATGTAAATATCCTTGGTCACAGGGTGAACTACGATGGCCATCACCTCGTGCAAGAGAGAGAGAGACACACGATTTAGGACAAGGGGTGTATGTCGAATGTTGTACGTGCCCCAACTGTTTAGCAAAGAACTGGGTTAAACTTCTAGAGGCATCCAGCCACCCTTTCCTGCAGCGTATGTACCATGAGTTCCCTCGATTATCGAGAGCTACAATAAAGTCACCAGTGGTGGGTGCTTGATTTTGTTCGCCCGCGCCATATTGAGGACTGCTGAGGAGCAAGTAAGTTTGGGATAGTTGCAGGCGCTCCTGATCTGAATTTCTATACTCTCGATACGTTGAAAATTAAGTATCGTCACTTTGTGGACGAGCATTAAGGTGAGCTTGGTTCCTATATGAATGTAACATCATGAGATCATCGTGGGGTCTGTTGCATCTTTTTTTTTTTTCGCCTACTTTGTCCAGGTAGATATTATACCCCGAAAGTGAAGCTCTCAGTTCAACCACATAAATACATAGAATCATCGTCCTAAGGAGCTCAGCGTCAAAAGAAAAAAATCTGACTTTGAATGGAATTTTATTGGCCGCAGGCTAAAATCAGTTATGTAGATATCGAAAGTTAAAATTATTCACCAACAGGCTCCGAGATATCTTGCACAAAAACAAGCAGAAAACGATAAACAAGTCATCCAACTCATCTATGCAATATATCCTCACCAACCAAATCAATATGAGAAGAAGATTTTACTTTGAACTCTTCAAATCTAACGATCATAGACATTTTGGGGTGCCTTAATGAGCCTTCCCCTGAGCCAAGGCCATCTGACCTCTTGAGCTGAGCGATTGTATAATATATTCAAGCAGATGGCACGTCAACAGTATACGCTTGAAGGTCTTCGTGAGAGGTTGACCGGTCGAGAGCTTTCTTATCGCCTGCCTTGAAGCTTTCGTCTGCTCGCAACATGTTTTGGTGTCTATTCGGCTCGCAATAACCTAGTACGTTGGTGGCAGTCATGCTGGCTGCGACTATCTCACCAGAGATGCAAAATGGGCTCACATTCCACATAATCTCGTTTTCTCTTTTTCCAGTTGCTTCACTGTTTTCGAGAAATTCACTCCTTTCAGGATAATTGCGTAAAAACCCTTTCAGGTTTTCCTGGCAAGTGAGAGAGGCTTTTTCTCTCCTATTAGATACATATAATATATTACACGTAACCTGGGAAAAATTCTTACTTATTTCAATTTGCATTTTAGACATTATAGCTCAAATGTTTTTTTGCGTAGAAATTGAGTCTACAAGCCCTAATTCTTTATCCGTTTGGATAGAGATGTGCGCAAAAATTGTACATATTTACCGCTTGCAACTCGACAACTTCTAGAAGTCTCAGTCTGGTGGTAATTTTATTCTTTACTTGCGGGATTCCTACGGTGCTGTGGATGTCATGACACACACTTGCCCGATAGCATTCAACCTCTCAATTGTCCTTGTCGTTAAAGCAACTCTAACTTCACCTTTGCAAGAACTTAAATGCCGAATATTGATTAAGTTACTCCAAGTCATAATCACAGATAGATGTGGTGAGGGGGCTTTGGAGCTTTAGTATATCTAGAGGCCCCTGTCACACCCATAGATATGTGTGTATCATCTCTAAACACCTAAAGTCGTTGCGAGAAGTAGATGAAAAAAGGGCATACTCAGGTGCAGTGAAGTAACGAAAAAAAAAAGAAATAAGAAAAAAAAAAGAACACGTTCTAACACTGAGAAAAATGTAGTAAATCCTCCAAAGCCTCTGCCAACTTAAACATGTCGGTCGTGTGAGGTGACCTGCATCCACTTTCTTGATTCAATGCGGACGAAGATAATAACCAAATGCTCAACGACTTCTCAAATGCATTTTTTATCCAACGTGACCCTAATAGGCTCAATATCCATACAGAGTCGTGTCACCGCTGATCGTTATTGATAGACTTTGATCATCACGATGAACCAGCATGAACCCCTCAAGCTGGATACATACTGATTTTGCATAGATTTCTATTCGCGAAGATTGCTTGATGACTCGGTCATCCACTCACAAGCGCTGAATCTTGGTATCGTGCTTCAGCTTGGGAATCGCCATTGATTTTTATTTTTTGCTTTTCCAACACCAATCAATGGGCACCATATTTCTGGGATGCTATTTTGATACTTTGATATATATGTTACTATCAACATATCGATCTATTCATACCTTGAATTGTTTGTCTCTATCGTGCGCTCGGCCTGCATCGCGAGGTTTCGAAACTTAACTTATGGGAGCAAACTGAAAGTCAATACTCTGCCCAAGCCATCGCCAGGCGTACCATCTCAGATTAGAAAACACTTTATCAATCCAGACTTTCGTTAAAGACTCGTCGGAGACCGCACTAGGGAACTTCTTTCTCGCTGTTTTTTTATCTTTATCTCAGCTACTTCCTGTCTTCTTCTGGCCTTTATCCTCTCAGGGAAGCGTGATTTTCTAGATTATAGGGGATCTGAGAAGGACCTTCTTAAGAGTTCTTTCTTGAATGCGGAGTATATAATAAATTTATTTCGGGAGTTAATAGGAAATGGAAGGCATCGGGAGAGCCTATCACAGCCGATCATGCCCGTTCGTCATCCTTTGTTCTTGAAATAGGCCGTCCTTTCGTCCACTAATGAGTGTGGACCGAATTCTAATTTCGCTATACCTTCCTAAAACTTGACACACACAGCTATTTCGCAGCAACTAAAAGGCGTAAAGAGGCCAAAGGATGGCCTGGTCCAGTTTTCGCTAATCAGATGGGATTAGGCTGGACCAAGGTAAATTAATAGTTGACTCTCCTTCATGAAGAAAATCAAATTATCTTGCCGGTGTTGTCTCCTGATTCTGAAGTCTCTTTTCTGTGTGGTTCTTCAGTTGAACGCCGTTAGAGCTTGCACCAGATGCCGAGTTCGCCATGTGAAGTGCAGGTATGAGCCATCAGATTTCCGTTAATGTTCCTAGTAGTAGTGGGCATCGTCTGTATGATTTCTGAGACAAGCACATGTTTCCATCCCCACATTAGCTTAATACACACCGGCGGTCCCTGCACTCATTGTAAGTTATAAGCTCACTCATGTAAACTCCCTAAATTCCAATTCCCTCTTATCTCGGCCGCACAACATGGGGCTCTGTTCTTGAACTCACCCTCACAGCACTGCACGGGTTACTATTGCCATAGCTCGTGGCCACTTGACCTAGTCATGAAAGCAGTTGATTATCCTCATGCTAGCTTGAGCTCTGTACTTGTTTCGCGGTTTTTGATCGCGGAAAGAAATTTACGAGCCTCGTATTTTTTTTTCGCAAATAGGCCGAAAACGTAAGGAGACATGCGAAGTACTTGGATGGAAGCTGGAGCCTCATGAGGCCAGCAAGACTATCTACAAATATGTGCTGCCACCCCCTCAAAGGCCTCTACAGACACCTCAGCAGTCTCCGCCCCAAGATCACCACAATCACACACTGGATCCGGTAGAATTATCTCAGAGATTGGAACAACTCAGGTATTTATGAGAAAATTTAATCCTATTTATTAATATCAAACCCTGGCATATGAGCTTGACTGGACTTCACTGCTTTTCCTGAACGCTTGTAGCCCTAGAAGGCTAGCCTTACTTTGGCCATGGGGGCCGGATGATCACGAGCCTTTTTATCCAATAGGGCCCCAATTCGGCGAGGACTACCACGAAGAATGCTGGGCTTATTGTCCCCAACGCCAATTGAATGAATTAGGATTCCGTGACTCATCAGGGAACGATTCTTTCTCACATTCTTATTCATTTGAATTTGAATGCCAATCTGTTCCAAGCACATCTAGTCAACTGCAACTAAACGAAGAATACGATGGCCAGAACAGCCCTGGTCAGCAATTCGTAGGAAATTCCTGGTTCACCAATCCCAGCCATCATACCCCTATCGATCAACCTCAGCACAAATTTTCATCAATCATTCAAAATCCACACCGAATGAGTCTAAGCTTCATACTAAACTCCAATGAATCCCGATAGAATCGAGAAAAAAACAAAAATTAAATAAAAAATAGAATCTCAGTAAAGCAGTAGTTATTTCAATCATAATATATCTTCGGATCTAAATGTATCCCAACTCTCAAAAGATAAAATTGCGGATCTCCACACAAATCTCTCTGGAAAAAACTTCAGTGATTCCCTCAGAAACAGACTCAAAATTTTCTCTGTATTAGCTTCCCAATTCTGATAACTCTTATAAGTCTCAATGCTCCTTGCTGTTGTCCGCGTCCTTTTTGTTTTGATATTGATCCAGAGCGCTAAGTTCAAACCGAAATCAAACTTCCAAGAGATGTTTGAAACACCATGTAGACAAAATAATGCTATAGAGCCCACTAGAGGATCCAAGATGTGCGAGGAATTGATTCCAGTTTGAATCAACAAGAATGATTAGGTTGTCCTTATTATGCGTGCTTCAGGTATTCACGAGAGAACACCTACCGGAGGAGGGGTAAGATCGAAGCTAACCGCAGGAGTAGCTCTGTTGTAAAGTCCGCATTGCCACTGTGCAGTTAACAGTAAGAGGGGAGTCATTCTGATCTTGGATCAGTCGTCCTCATCAAGATCTGGATGGCCAAGATCTCTTTTTATATGTGGGAATTTATATCACAGCTAATCAATGAAATGTATCCTGTTGAGTGGAGGTCTTCCTGGCCGCCTTACAAGTTTCTAAATACTGTTTATAGCAAGTAAGTTTCTCATATATTCTACCAGGGTTTTGAAAACTAATTTTGAGATTTTAGGTGAATTGATTTTCAATTCCATCAAATCTTACCAGTGCTGGAGTTGTCTTCCACTCAACCAACCACTCACAATAGAGCAGTTTGAAAAAAGTTCCCTTTAGTACAAAAACTGATCTTGGACCTTGGAAAATTTCTTTCTTGATTCTGGGTGATGGCCAATTAATCTGCATTGTAAGAAAATCTAGATAATTGGGGTGCGTCAGTTATGCACTCATGTTTGAAGTTATGAAATGAAAAGTGCGTGCACGGATTTGTACTACAGAGGTTTTGTTGTGCGCACAGCACACACACTCCTCTTTTCAGTGGGAATTCATGAAATTTTTATTATGATGAAATTACGCCTACGATTTCTAGAAATTTGGAGTACGCCTCCTTTGTACCCCCCATTTTTGGGGTGTAAGTAGGATTGGATTGCATTCAGACTGACCCCACAAAGGTGGACGAGCCGAAACCCAAGTTTATTACAAGATGATACGATCTGAACGGAATAAGACTTCATAAAACAGAACAAGAAAAAGACGGAGCTCGGAAACTAACCATCATTGTGAGAACAATGGGTACGGGTACAGAGTTATAATGAGGTATGATAGAATGAGGCAAGATTACGCCGATGAAAGAACCACTGAAAAAAAAGAACGAGAACAAATCAATTATTATATGGGCAAACCGCAGCTAATGTGTATCAAGATGACAAGGTTGAACGGACAGGCAATTGTTGGATGGGGTTCAAGAAATAGGTTTAGAATAATGATCAAGGTTTCTCTTTTTCGATCTTTGCCAAAGTTTCTTCGTCGGTGACAGTGGGAGTAGTATCCTCGGAAGTTGGTGCACCAGTGACCAAATCGACCCCTCGGTATTCCTTCCCAAAGCATGTCATGATGATAATATACCCCGCCACGGTCCCGATCAAAGCGGCTTGGACTACCGTGTAATCCTCGACTTCAGTCCCGTTTATGACCACGCGGTGAAGCTCACCTGCCCTGGCTTCTATTTGAGTAGATGCGGCACTGATCATGTTTCCTACAGGTATTGTTGGATAAGACAAAGGGTCGTCAATTACGGACCATGTGAGCTGAAGTTGTGAATGCGAGCTTCTGTTAACTAACCTAGCTGATATGTCAACCCGGTGAATATAGCTAAACATGCAGGAGGCGCAATCTCACTCAAATAAATCGGCACAACACCTGTGAAAACAGAAGCAAGTCATAATTAGATTGTTCCGTATGACTTATGTTTCTCCGGGGAAAATTCACCCCAAGCTCCTTGGACGCCGAATTGTAGAAAGAAGGCGCCAAGGGCCAATCCAGAAAAGCTAGTCGGAAGAATCCAAAGTGGGATGAATGCTCCGGTCCATATACACATGGCTATGATAGCCAATCGACGGCCAAGGAACTGAGAAGACCATCCGCCGAGAATACCGCCGGTGATAGCTCCACAGTTACCTGTTGAAGCAAATCTTAAGCCCATTGCGCAAGATTTCGAGACAAAACAAATCGAAAAAAGTACCTATGATGGTTAGAAGTGAAGCTTGATGCTTCGACATTCCCTTGGTGATTTGTGCGTAAGTAGGATAAAGATCTGGTTTCAAAGGGGAAAAAACTGATGAGACTTGTGTCGACTTGCAATAAAGCAGTTATCTACCTTGGGATCCATGCGACAAGAAATTGAAACCTGAAATAAAGTGACAGAAACCTGTGATTAATAAGAGTAAAATTTATTTCCCATCTGAGAGTAATATCTTACCGGTCATCAAAAGGATAGCGAAGACAAAGCGACCCCAATACTGCTTAACGGCTGCCGTCAAAGAATCCAAGTAAACTTTTCCAGCAGATCGTCCTGAGGAGTCGCCAGCATTTATTTGGGCTTGCTTTCGGGCTTCAAGAAAAACTGGAGACTCTGGACATAACGCTCGTAAGATCGCAATAAGAAATGACAGGCAAGCGCCGAAATAGAAGATCGACCGCCAGTCGTCGGTTTTGGCTACAAGACTTAGGTTGAGACTGGCAGCAATCAGGTAGCCGATGGCGTAGCCTTGCTGAGGGGTTACAAAGGTGAAATTCGGATGTGAGCTTCCAATTAAAAAAATTGTAGAAATTTAAGCGTGTTTTGAGAATTGTTGCTAACCTGCAGGATGCCTGAAAAGAGCCCGCGGGCTTCAGAAGGCATGTTTTCCAGAGCCGTGGCTAGAAGATTCGGATTGAGCAAGGAGAAAAAAAAACATTGGGCTGAGAGCTCTTCCCTCATTGAGCAGGACATAAATGTAAGGCTAACCTGTAGCCATGCCGTAGATACCACCCATCATGATACCAAAGAACGCGCGGACGGCAAGGAAGGCTTGGAAGGTTTGCACAAATGCGGTCCCCAGGGCCAAGAGGGCGATACAAACTAGGTTGGCTGTCAGAGGCCAGCGACGTCCAAACCTATCGGTCAGAAGCCCAAAACCAAGAGCGCCGACGGACCGAAAGAGAAGAGTAAGGGTGATCGATTCTGTCAAGTCGGTTATCGAGCGTCCATCAAATTGGACACTCAGTCTGGTGAGCGTGACCGAAACCGCGAAGAAGTCGAATGCATCGATCACCCATGCAAGAAAGCCAACGCAAACTACAGATTTATGATTGAAGAAATTGGGAATCAGCACTCGGGCATCAGTACATAATTTGGCGGGTAAAGAAAAAAGTGAAATAATTGTGCTGACAGTACATGTAGTGCCGGGCTGAAAGCTCCCGACATATTTGCCATGGTGGTCGAGGTCTGTTGGCAGCCCTTTCTTGCTTGTTCGGTAACCGAGGTAAACCACGAAAAGTATTTTGAATAAATGACATCTTCGCAGATGAAGGAACAGGTTAAGCTGGAACGTTTCCACTAAGGTTAAACAAATAGGTTTGAATGAAGCGTTAATAAATATGTAAAAAGTTAAACCGGAAGTGCCGAAGCAGTCAAGAAAGGCCGGGGCTTCAAGATGAGTTGGATGTCTCTCAGCAATCGTAGTGGACAAGAGCTTTATTTGTGTGGTGGTGATTAGCAGGAGTCAACTAAGAGTAATATGTATACAACATGGCTGGTTGGTTAGTGGCCAAGAGGTATCTCCGAGGCAACGCTTTGATATCTGGGATTCTGGTAGGCCGTGGATGGGGATGTCGATGGCACTCTTGGGTGATCAAGTGCTGAAACTCGGCACAGCAACAGCTCATCTGCCTGATTCCGTATTCAAATAATAATAATTTACACCGCCACTGGAGATAATATTGGAGCTTGTTGATACACCATCACGGTTCTTGCGGATTCAGAACAAGAACAAAATCCCGGGGGGCGAGGCTGAGATGGATGTATGCGCGCCACAAGGAATCTACTAGCTCAGCTCAGCTCAGTCATGCTAGCTCAAGGCCACTCACTCCCATTCGATGCTCGACGAGCCAGTCTCAGGCTTGTATGGCCAGCTCGCTCACACTGACAGACTGACAGTTAGGGTTAAGCTGGGAGTCTGGCAGGCAAAATGGCCTGCTGATCTTATTAGACAGGCAACCTGCCACATCGAAGAAATTCGCAATCCATTCTTGATCACATGCGAGTCCTCTTTCCACGACCCCCTTATGGCTGGGCTCGGGTGGCTCATTATGGACATTGCCCCAATGGTACGCTATCCCGCAGGTAGCAGTCTCTGAAGGTCATGCAGGGAAACAATGGTTAGCCTTGGATAAGTTGGAATCGATGCTTTGCGAAGCGGCATGTGGAGAAAGACCGAAGTCATCAAAGTGTACATACTTGCACCACTGGTTCAAATCATCCTGCAAACTCCGCCAGGTTATTGCTAATTCCAACAACAATGGCCAGGGGGTCCCATGTCCCCTTGAAACACTCTCTGCAAGGAAAGTTTGTGATGGATACATACAAGAGTCAAACAAATTCTCAACAAACATGAAGGTACTGATCAAAGCTTTTCACCAAAACTTGAAAGTATGTAGAGCTGGGGACTCAAGGAAAATCTCGAGAATTATTCTACACAAAGGGATATATTATGAATTGCCAAAAATGCCCCTTGGTTAACCATGCAGCTTGACATTTCCAGAGAATGATGGACACAAAAAACATCCACCACAACCTTGGCCAAGATGACAAAATTAGTTGATGAGTGATTCAGTGTTAAGGTTTTGACTCAGGAAATTAGCAACCTGATCTTGATATATATGGATATATCATGGAAACAGGTTACTAATATACCTGCTTCCTGGAATAAGCTGGGATTGATCAGAAGATGGCAAATTTTGTGAATTGTTGGGGTTTAGACCTTGGCTGCACAAGAGTTCTTGTTGATGAGGCCGGATTTGACCTTCATTCTGGTTGTCCTCTGGTTAGAATTGATTTTTTTTTCTGTTGTTGACTGATACTTTCATTTTTTTTTTGGTTGCAATTAAGATCAACCTGCGGTCTTGAGCCTTGTGCCCAAGGCCAAGCAGGTGATCTTGATAGGGGCCCTCTCAGAAGAAGCAATGGTCAAAGCAATACACTACAATACATGTATTGGGCAATGCAGTGTATTGTACCTTTTCTTCAGATACTCAAACAAAACGTATTGGGTATTGTATTGCCATTGGAAATCAGATACAACAGTGGGCCAGTTACGCTAACTGTAGTGTTAGTGTAGCATAACGTAGCGGAATTCCGCTAAACTTTAGCATAGCATAGCAGAATTCCGCCACATCTACGCTAGCACTACGCGCAAAGGATGCAACAGTGTGCTAACCGTTAGCGTAGCGCTAGCGCAAAAAATTGGAATTGCACTAACACTACACGGACAGGGCGCAAAAAAGCGCCCACTACGCTGCGTTACAGCACTTTTTAGCAGATTTTTAGCCTTTTTTGTCGCTAAAAGCGCTGTAGGATAGCGTATCACAGTGTAGTGGTGGTAGTGGCGTGCTAACACTACAGAAAAAATCTGTTAGTGCCGCTAAAAAGTAGTGTAGCGTAGCGGTGGTAGCGGTGTGCTAACACTACACAAAAAAGGGCCACATTTTGTGCTGCTACGCTAACGCTAAATGGCCCTGTAGTGTAGCGGCCCACCGCTGTCAGATACAATACAACAGCATTTCATCAAAAAAATATTACACATTTCTTGGCCAATTTTGACTGTATTCAACAAACCAACTACCCAATAGGGGGTATCAAATATAGGAAATCCACCATCAGAAACCAGTCACTTTTCCAAAAACGTTTTTTTGCATAAATGAGCCCCAAAAGGGGTTAAATGGATAACCAACATGCTTAAAAAAGGGTGGATTTTTTCAAACCAGTCAATTAATTAATGGTGGATTTGCTTATATTTGATACCCCCTAATACAAAAGGATCAAGTATTGTATTGGGGACCAGATACAATATATTTGTACAGTATTGGGCTGTATTGGCAACCAGATACAATATATTTGTATAGTATTGGTTTTCCAATACTATACAGGTAAAATGTATTGGGATAAAAACAGATACCAATACACATATTTTATTGGTTTCAGATTTGGAGTAAGGCTTTGTTTACCACAAGTTCCTTAATGCCAACAACACCAAGGCAAAATAGGTTGGCTCTAATGAATTCTTCTTTTTCCTCAGTAGCCTTGGTGCCTGGTTGCCTCAGCAATCAATCATTGACATTGTTTTCCATCTACCAATCCACCAAGGCAACCGCTTCCAGGAGGTGAAAAAATCACCTGATGACTCTGAGTCAATCAAGATCAAATTACTCCCTCCATACTCACTATTCTTCAATCAAATTGAGTACAGCTTCAACTCAATCAAATCATATGTTCTCTTATCATTCTTCTTTTCTATCACACAAAGCATAAAATACAAGAAATTGTGAAGAAACTATGTAGATGAATTAGCAATCTATTAACCTATGTACCCCCCCCCCCTCCCAATTGATGTGTGAAGAGAGAGAGATGAGGAAAGTACATGGTCAATGCACCCCTTGAGTTAAGGGGTGCATCGACTTTTGGTAAGTGTAGAACTCTTGCTTGATTTCAGCCAAGCAAGACTTTGTCCTGAACCCCACCAACTTTGGCATGTGCCAAGAGGGGGTTGGGAGGGTGCCACCAATAGTGCACAGTGGCGCGCGGCATTGCACTGTACAAGGCTGCCTGCAAAACTTGTTCTGGTCACGTGGGGAAAACCCTAACCCTGATAGGGGTCCAGCACTTGTAATAAGTGTGTTTTTGGAGTCTACAGGGTGTGTAGATTCCAAATCAGAATCTAAAGTGGCAACTGATTTGGTCCAGCCCAAAAAAAAACCTTTTTTTTCACTCAACCATTTGGACAGGACCCCGACAAGCCCCCCCAGAGGGGGGTGTTGAAAAAGGTATGCCAAATTGGCCAATTTTGCTGAAACATGCTCTTGGAAAAGGTATGAAGGGGCCAAATTGCCTTGAAGGGTGGTCATAGAAAATGTATGTTGTTTTAATTCCAGCATCTGGGGTAGTTATTTTGTAGGTATGGACTTTGGGTTGGGTTGTAGGTACATACTGTTCTGCACTCTGGTCAATGAGTTATAACAACCTCATTGGCCGGAAGGGATTCCTTCTGGTCAATGAGGTATAACAACCCCATCAACCAGAAATAATTCTTTCCAATCTATGAGGTGATAAACACAAAATTTCTTTATGGCGCTGTTATAGCTGACCAAGCCAAGATGATGTGTAACAAAGCCGGTGAGGGCGGTGATGGCTCTGATCCGTTCCGCAAGAAAAATGGTCTGGATGACCGGAAGGAATCTCTTCTGGTCATCAAGACCCGCCTTCCTCCCAGTCCCACTGGCCAGGAGGGATTCCCTGGGGTCATTGAGACTGTACAGTCTTGATGAGCAGAGGAATCTCTCCGGTCATTGAGACAGTGTACAGTCTCAAAGGCTGAAGGGTTCCACCCAGCCTCAACAGGCCCATATCAGGGCGGGTTTCAAGGCGGCTACCCGCTGTTTTTCATGCCAAATGTCAACACCCACACCTGCACCCGGCACCTGCTTTGGAAAACAGGTACCCGCTGTGGTGTTCTAAACGGTACAGGCCCCCTCAAGGTCCAATTCCAGAATTCAACTTTCAGATTTTCAATATCCTCAAGACTCAAGATTTCTATATTATCACCTCAAATCCCCACTCAGTCCAATGGTTTCCTCATTTTATTATTTTAATTCATTTCCTTATTATTTACTCTTCATGTTATTTTTTATTCATCTTGATTTTATTTTATTTATTTTTTTATCATTTTATTATTTTTACTTACCTTTTTCAAATCATTTACTCAGAAGACAATGTTGTTTCTTATTTCTTGGTCCTAAGACATAGTTTCATTTATGTTGGTTTATTCTGATCTTGTTTGTTTGTTCTATTCTGTGTTCTTCTTTTGTTCTTTTGATGTGTTGTGTTGTGTTGTCTTTGTTTTCTGGTTGTGTTGTGTTGTCTTTGTTTTCTGGTTGAGTTGTGTGTACACCTAGGGTGCACACCCACGTGGACGGGCACCAGTTTTCCACGGGGAGCCCACGAGCGGCCACTGCGGGAGGTCGGACCAGGACCCGCCAGTCCACAGGATTCCGTGGGCTCCACCGATTGGTCCACGGCTGCATTGCGAGGTTGTCTCGTGGAGCCCACGAGGAAGCTTGCAGGGCCGCCGTTAAAGAATCGGCAGCGGCCCTAAAAAGGAGCGCACACGGAGTCGAACTCTGGCAGCGGACCCAGGCCAAGCATCCAGGAGAATGCTTGACTGCTGGTCCACAGGGAATTGGAAACGACCCCTCCTTCCGAGATCAGATCGGTTCAGAGTGATCGTTCGTGTCACTCCCACCCCCCAAAAAAAACAAAGTCCTTTTTTAATTTTTTTTAATTTTTTTTTCTCAATACTCGGTTTTCTCGAGTTTTCAGACTGTCAGGACCCACATCCGTGGGTCCTGGTTGTAAGTGGATTGAGGGTCGGCCGTTGTGGAACCAACGTGGGCGACGTGCCCACGTGCTCCCGACCAAGTCAAATTTGGTTTTGTGGAACCATCGACAAAAAAAACGCTCCCCTCGTGAAACCGACGACGAAATCGGACTTACCAAACATTTACAGAGCCGATCTCGTGGATTTCACGGGGTCGGCGTCTCACGTGGGATC